GATAGCTTTGGGTAGTATTGACATTTTGACAATATTTATTCTTCCAATCCATGAGCAGGGAATGTCTTTCCATTTCTTTAAATCTTCTTCAATTACCTTCATAAGCTTTCTATAGTTTTCAGCATACAGTTCCTTTACATCTTTGGTTAGATATATTCCTAGGTATTTTATGCTTCTTGGTGATGTTTCGAATTTTTGAATCATATTGTACATCTGTTTATATAAACACAGTATATTTACTATACTGGGGTTGAAATTTAAAAAATTTTAAAAATCATGTATGGAATTTTTTTACTAGTGGATAAAAAATCACTGTGGATAAAAACACTAGTGGATAAAAAAACACTGTGTGTGTGTGTGTGTGTGTGTGTGTGTGTGTGTGTGTGTATTCATTCATCCCCATACATTTGAAGATATAGAAAAGGGACAATTTTATTTTTTAATTCCAGTTAGTTGGGGCGCCTGGGTGGCTCAGTTTGTTGAGCATCTGACTTCAGCTCAGGTCATGATCTCATGGTTCACGAGTTCAAGCCCCACGTTGGGCTCTGTGCTGACAGCTCAGAGCCGGGAGCCTGCTTCAGATTCTGTGTCTTTCTCTCTCTCTCTGCCCCTCCCCCACTCATGCTCTGTCTCTTTCAAAAATAAATACAAACAAATAAATAAATTCAAGTTAGTTAATCTACAGTGTAGTATTAGTTTCAGGTGTACAATTTAGTGATTCACAACACCTGGTGCTCATCACAGCAAGGGCAGTAATTAATCCCCATCACCTATTTCAACCATCTCCCCACCCACCTCCCCCTGTTAATAATCAATTTGTTCTTTATAGTTAAGAGTCTGTTTCAGGGCTCCTAAGTGGCTCAGTAGGTTATCGGTATGAATCTTGATTTTGGATCAGGTCATAATCTCATGGTTCGTGGGTTAGAGCTCCACATCCCCCCAGTCTGCAGCCTGCTTGGGATTCTCTTTCTCTCCCCCTCTTTTTGCCCCTCCCCTGCTCATGCTCTCAAAAATAAACATTTTTTTTAATCTTTTTTCCAACTTTTATTTATTTTTGGGACAGAGAGAGACAGAGCATGAACGGGGGAGGGGCAGAGAGAGAGGGAGACACAGAATCGGAAACAGGCTCCAGGCTCTGAGCCATCAGCCCAGAGCCCGACGCGGGGCTCGAACTCACGGACCGCGAGATCGTGACCTGGCTGAAGTCGGACGCTTAACCAACTGCGCCACCCAGGCGCCCCAATAAACATTTTTTTAAAAGAGTCTGTTTCTTGGTTTGCTTCTTTTTATTTCCTATAATCATTTGCTTTGCTTCTTAAATTCCACATTTGAGTGAAATCATATGGTATTTGTCTTTCTCTGACTTATTTCACATAATATACTCTAGTTTCTTTTTCTTATTTTTGAGAGAGACAGAGCATAAGTAGGGGAGGGGCAGAGAGAGAAGGAGACACAGAATCACAAGCAGGTTCCAACCTCTGATCTGTCAGCACAGACCCCGACGCTGGGCTTGAACCCATGAACCATGAGATCATGACCTGAGCTGAAGCTGGACACTTAACCAACTGAGCTATCCAGGTGCACCAACATACTCTAGTTTCATCCACGTCATTGCAAATGGCAAGATTTAATTCTTTTTGATGGCTGAGTAATATTCCATTGTGTGTGTGTGTGTGTGTGTGTGTGTGTGTGTGTGTATGTATATATACTATTTTCTTTCTCCATTCACTCATCAGTGGACATTTGGACTCTTTCTATAATTTTACTATTGTACATAATGCTGCTATCAACATCAAGGGTGTATGTATCCCTTTCAATTAGCATTTTTATGTTAGCATTTTTACATTCTTTGAGTAAATACGTAGTAGCGCAATTGCTGGGTCATAGGGTAGTTCTATTTTTTTTTTAATTTTTAAAAAATTTTTATTTTTTGAGGAAGAGTGAAAGTGCACATGACCAGGGGAGGGGCAAAGGAAGGGAGAGAGAGAATGATGAAGACAAACTCCATACCTTTTATGAAAAGTTAATGGCCACAGAAGGTGCTGCTGATTCTCTGGGTGAAGAATGGAAGGGTATGTGGTCCAAATCAGTGGTGGAAATGACAATGAGACCTTCTCCATGAAGCAGGGTGTCTTGACCCATGGCTGTGTCTGCCTGCTGCTGAGTAAGGGGCATTCCTGCTACCGACCAAGGAGGACTGGGGGGAAGAAGCGCGAATCTGTTCGGGGTTGCACTGTGGCTGCCAATATCAGTGTTCTCAACTTGATCATTGTGGAAAAGGGGGAGAAGGATATTCCTGGACTCACTGGTACTACTGTGCCTCATCACCTGGGGCCCAAAAGAGCTCGCAGAATCTGCAAACTTTTCAATCTCTTTAAAGATGACGACGTCCGCCAGTATGCTATAAGGAAGGCCCTAAACAAAGATAAGAAACCAAGAACCAAAGCACCCAAGATTCAACGTCTTGTTATTCCACGTGTCCTCCAACACAAACATCGGCGTACTGCTTTGAAGAAACACAATACTAAGAAAAATAAGAAAGAGGCTGCAGAAAATGCTAAACTTTTGGCCAAGAGAATGAAGGAGGCCAAAGTAAAACTCCAGGAACAGATTGCCAAGAGACAGAGGCTGTCCTCTCTGAGAGCTTCTACCTCTGAGTCTGAGTCCAGTCAAAAAGGAGATTTTTCTAAGAGTAACAAATAAGAGCAGACATCAAAAACAAAATAAAACGAGTTGGGCACTTAACCGACTGAGCCACCCGGTGTCCCTAATTTTTTGAGGAAACTTCACACAGTTTTCACAGGGGCAGCACCAAGTTTGCATTCCCACCAGTAGTGGTAAATGGTCAGTTTTATTTTTTTTTTTTTAATTTTTTTTCTATCGCTAAGCATACTTTGTTTTTTTTTATTTTTTTAAATATGAAATTTATTGTCAAATTGGTTTCCATACAACACCCAGTGGTGCCCTCTCAATACCCATCACCCACTTCCCCCTCCCTCCCACCCCCCATCAACCCTCAGTTTGTTCTGTTTTTAAGAGTCTCTTATGGTTTGTCTCCCTCCCTCTCTTTTTTTTCCTTCCCCTCCCATGGTCTTCTGTTAAGTTTCTCAGGATCCACATAAGAGTGAAAACATATGGTATCTGTCCTTCTCTGTATGACTTATTTCACTTAGCGTAACACTCTCCAGTTCCATCCACGTTGCTACAAAAGGCCACATTTCATTCTTTCTCATTGCCAAGTAGTATTCCATTGTGTATATAAACCACAACTTATTTACCCATTCATCAGTTGATGGACATTTAGGTCCTTTCCATAATTTGGCTATTGTTGACAGTGCTCCTATAAACATTGGGGTACAAGTGCCGCTATGCATCAGCACTCCTGTATCCCTTGGGTAAATTCCTAGCAGTGCTATTGCTGGGTAGTAGGGTAGATCTGTTTTTAATTTTTTGAGGAACCTCCACACTGTTTTCCAGAGTGGCCTCACCAGTTTGCATTCCCACCAACAGTGCAAGAGGATTCCCATTTCTCCACATCCTTGCCAGCATATATAGTCTCCTGATTTGTTCATTTTGGCCCCTCTGACTAGTGTGAGGTGATACCTGAGTGTGGTTTTGATTTGGATTTCCCTGATGAGGAGTGACGTTGAGCATCTTTTCATGTGCCTGTTGGAAAATGGCCAGTTTTAAACAGAACTTTAAATATCGTGTTAAGGTTAAAAAAAAAAAAGCTTTTAGAAGACTCTAGGTAAATGTCTTTGTGATCTTTGGGTAATTCGTGGCATTTTCACACAATAGAATACTATACAGCAATAAGAACCAACAACTACAGTGCACAAAATATGAATGAATTCTGCAGAATTTTTAGTGGAAAGAGCCAGACACAAAAAGTGTACCTGCTGTATTATCTTGTTTGTTTTTAAAATTTTTTTAAATCTTTATTTTTGACAGAGAAAACGCGACTGGGGGAGGAGGAACACACAGAAAGGGAGAAGACACAGAATCAGAAGCAGGCTTCAGGCTCCGAGCTGTCAGTGCAAAGCCTGACGTGGGGCTGGAACTCAACGACGTGCCAGATTATGACCTGAGCCGAAGTTGGACACTCAGGTGACTGAGCTATCCAGGTGCCCCTACGGTATTTTATTCTTAGCATTGGTGGAGGATAATGTGAATGCTTATTATATTGTCTCTTCTGTGCCTGAAATATTTCAAAATCTCAAAAATAGTCTTTCTAAAAACTTCAAGAGGGTTGAAGGAAGTAAACACTGTTAGCATGTTTGCTACTTTCAAATATTGGGAGGGACATCATGTATAAGAAAGAAAAAGACTTGGGACGAATGGAAGAAATTATGAGGAGGAAGGCAGACTTTTATGAACTATCAGAGGCAACATGAAATAGTGGCAAGATCAGAACTGTCTGGAGCCAGCCCGCCTCGCTTCAGATCTTGGCTCTGTCTTCTTAGGCTGTATGATTGGGGCAGTTTATTTAACCCTACTGTTCTGTTTCCCATCCTGTAAAAGGGGGATAATAATAGTCCTTACCTCACAGGGCTATAGAAGGACTAAAGGATATTTGCAAAGTGTTGAGAACAGTGCCAGGTACATAACAGGCACTATACATTTGTAAAGTAAGTCAAAACAAATCTGACAAATAAAGAGCCTGCCTTGCAAAGCAGTAAGCTCTTCAAGGGCTTGTGCAAAGGCTGGAAAAATCTCAATTAAGGATGATGTAGAGGTATCCATTTCTGGTCTAGAGAAGTACTTCTCGAACTTCTATAGGCATTTGAATCACATAGGGATCTTGCTAAAATGCATGTTCTGAGTCACTAAGTCTGGGGTGAGCCTGAGATTCTTTATATCTGAAAGTCACGCTAATGCTGCAGGGCTTCCGAGAACAACAGCTTTAGGAACAGAGCTCTAAATGGCCTTTCCCTGTGGCCATACATCATAGTTACAAAGATGCTTAGTTCTTACTTCTGATCAGTCATCAATTTCCAGTAAATTCTAAATATATTTGTCTTTCAAAAGCAACTTTTGGCCCCTCAATTAACAATTTGTATTTTTCTTTAAATGTTTATTTGGGAGGAGGGGTGCGGATAGGGGCAGAGAGAGAAGGAGACAGAGGATCTGAAGCAGGCTCCAGGCTCTGCACTGACAGCAGTGAGCCTGACACAGGCTTCGAACTCCCCAACCATGAGATCATGACCTGAGCTAAAGTCAGACACTCAACTGACTGAGCCACCCAGGAACCCCTAACTAATAGTAATTTAAACACTAGAAGGCCTACCAATTTATAGGCGGTTTGGGGCAAATCTTTTCATACAAATTTGTATCTTCTCATAATGTTGATAATTATATACTCTTTTACAAATTCAGCTGACTTTGGATTTTCATAAAGAACAAATGCTTATAATGAGAAATTTAAACAGTAAAATATAGGGGAGGCAGTTCCTATATCATTCTGGAATTCACAGTAGAAGCTATATTTGATCTGATAGAGGATGGCACTTTAGATTTCCAGTAGGGAAATAAAAGAAAGAAAACCACATGTGAGAGCAGGATAGATAAGAAAGAAGGAGACTGTCAAGGCTTAAACTAAGAAAAAATGGGGGCACGTGGGTGTCTCAGTCAGCTAAGCATCTGACTTTGGCTCAGGTCATGGTCTCGCAGTTCATGGGTTCAAGCCCGGCATTGGTCTCTGTGCTGACAGCTTGGAGCTTGGAGCCTGCTTTGGATTGATTCTGTGTCTCCCTCTCTCTGACTCTCCCCTACTTGTACTCGTTCTCTCTCTCTCAAAAAATCAATAAACATTTAAAAATATTTTTAAAAAAGAAACAAGGATCATTTTTTAAAGGTTGGAGGTATGGTTCTGAGAGGTTAAACAGGTTAAAAAGTGGGATGGACATTTTATAATGTATTAATTCAACAAGCTCAATAGGAGAATTAGTTGTCTGTGTATCAGAGAACCCTGGTGAAGCAAAGTGGGCTCTGCTGGGAGCTCTTTGATGCACTCTGGGCCCAGCTGCCCCGCCCCCCCAGGTTCAAGGGGAAATCAGGGTGTGTGATCCAGAAGAGAAACCCAGAGAATGGCTTGGTGCCTGGGGATGGTAGACATTGTAGGAAGCTCTGGATGATTTGGTCTGAATTATACTCCACACTTTCCTTCCTTCAGGGAATCCTCAGTGACAGTTGACTTAGAGCCAAAGGGAACCCCTAGAGTTTCCTGAGGACTGGATAACTATAGACTGGCTATAGAGTGTCTCATGAATATTCAGCACAAAGCTGCTGAAACTAACTTCTGCTGCCCCACAGCCCAACCTGCAAGTATCCCCAGATCTGAACTAGCCAATGAGTGGGGGGAAAGCCAGCAGGCAATGGACAGGACATTTTATTCTGTCATTATTCTACTGTTCTAAGTCAAAGCAAAAAGTTCCAGGCTCTGTATTTTGCTTTAAAAAGAAGAATATAGGAGAAGTGAGGGAAAGATAAGAGTAGGCATTCAAGGGATGCCTGGGTTAAGTGTCCAACTTTAGCTCAGATCATGATCTCACAGTTTGTGAGTTTGAGCCCCACATCGGGCTCTGTGGTGAAAGCTCAGATGTGCTCAGATTCTGTGACTCCCTCTTTCTCTCTGCCTCTCCCCAGCTCACTCTTGTGCTCCTCTCTCTCTCTCTCTCTCTCTCTCTCTCTCTCTCTCTGTCTCAACAGTAAATGTTAAAAAAAATAAAAAAGAATAGGCATTTGAGTAGATAATTCTATAATTTTCTTTAAATGTGTGTTATTTTTAAATAGTTTCAGTGTTTTACTCACCACAACCGCACAGAGGTTATATTTAGGGTGTTTCCGAAAAACTGGACAAATATAAGGACTAAGGTCCAAGTTTGTGAGTGGATAATGAATATCTGTCCTCAGTTTTCTTTTCATTGTACCCAGAATGTCAAATCTGGAGAGAGAATAAATGTGCAAAATACAAAGTAAGTTTGTCAATGACTCATTAGTGAAGTCTACATACCTTGATAAATTCCAAGTACAGTTAAAAGTAATTTCTTACAAAGGTAATTTGGCACAGACCTGTACATAATTTTCCTTATCTATGTATACTTATAATCTCCACATTCCTTAGTGTCACCAGAACTGACACTGGTTGGGCCAGGGGTATGAGTCAGAGGGTAAGACATTACAGAATCAATCCAGTGAGAAGGCAACAGGGAAAAAGCCAGGCTTGACATCAGGGAGTAGAAATGACCTTGACTGACTCAGCTTTTCCTTATCTTGATTTTAGCACATGTTGTCTTGGCAATGCCCTTTTACCAGCTCTGAGGTTTGTTTTTTTAATGTTTATTTTTGAGGGGGGGGGAGCATGAGCGTGGGGCACTGGGTGGGGGGGGGTAGCGGTGGCAGACACAGAGGAAAACATAGAATCTGAAGCAAGCTCCACGCTAATCAAGTTGTCAGCACAGAGCCCAACATGGGGCTCAAACCCATGAACCATGAGATCATGACTTGAGCCAAAGTCAGACACTTAAACAACTGAGCCACTCAGGCACCTCTCCAGCTCTGAAGGTTTTTTGTTTTTTGTTTTTAATGTGTATTTAGTTTAGAGAGAGCACGTGAGCAGGGGAGGGGCAGAGAGAGAGAGAGAGAGAGAGAGAGAGAGAGAGAATCAGAAGCAGGCTCCAGTCGCTGAGCTGTCAGCACAGAGC